TGATATAATCATTTTCTTTCAAGTTAGCTTTATCAGTATTATTGGTTATAATTTAGTCTAGAATATTATTTTTATTATTGTATTATTATTAATTCTTACACGTATGAAGGCTATTTTGCATTGTTAACTAGTATAAGGATATTTAGGCTAACTTTCGTGAGATATTAACGGGATAACGGTTGAAAACATCGTTAATAAGGAGGGTACTCAGCTCGTAACTCTGTGTATTCAAATGTTTGTTAAGTTTTAGGTTTCTTGATAGCATTGTATACTTATTGTGTGTCTGTTTTTGTACAGGGTAAGTATAATTGATTTACAAGTTACTTTTGATCACGTTATTAATTAATAATAGTATTAGAGTGGATTTATGACTGAAGATAGTTATAACTTATACTGATTTCATTTCTGTCGTATAAATAGAACAACCAAACATCAATGGTATATAATACGATTGTATTGCCTATCTGTATTGCACGTATCGATAAGATAGGAATCCCTGAAAGTGTTTATTCTTTGCAGTTCATTCTTTGTAATCCTGTTTTTGGACCAGTAATGTTTAGTGTAACGGTAAGATTAGCTGTGTAAATAAAACACGATAACATCAAGTTATCTAAGGGCCATCGTGTTGTTTTATAGTGATATAGCAGTGTTAATAATCACGGCGTTGGCTCATCTGTAGTATTGAGGGCTTAAACGCTAAGATTTGATATTCGATTCCTGCTGGTAGCCCATTGTGCAACTTTGGTATCAGCATATAAATTTAATATTTCCCCACCTAAAAAACCCAGTTTTTAAGGCTGATCACGTCACTAAATGTTATTTTGTTATGATATAAATTGTGCCATACCTCAAAGAGTAATAAACTGACCGATAATCTACGAAAGTTTATGTAGGGCCTTAACAAGCAAACTGTGTTATATACAGGTTAACGCCAAAGCATCATTACAACTAAGTCATTCATTTTTATGTTTCCAACTGGGTGACTATTCTTATGAAAAATGTTATGCTCGAGAAATCAAACAACTGATGACTGAATGAGGGTTAAAACTAGTAACAGGCCTTAGTCTTCAAGTCAAAGTTTTAATGTTAGCATATGGAAGATTTCTGAATTCTCGATCATAACATTTTTCATAAGAATAGTCACCCAGTTGGAAATATGATTATGAACACACAAAAAAGAAATAAAAACAACAACAACATACGGTTGCATAACATTTTAGGCTTAAACAAAGAAGTTCTGTAAATGTTATCATTAATTTCTCATCAAAACAATATTATTTCATAGGTATGAACTAAAAATTAACCCTTTCATGAAAATGGTCCATTTAACATACTGTTCTGATTTGTAATGATTACAATGAACCTGAGTGAGGAATGTGCATAACAATGTGGAAGAATAGAGTTGTGTTGTTAGGTGTTTTTATACTATGTGACCTGTGTTATTGGTACATTAATACAAAGTGTTGTTAGGTGTTTTTATACTATGTGACCTGTGTTATTGGTACATTAATAAAAATTTAAGGAGATTTTCCATCTCGGCTATCACTGTTTGTTGATTAGGTTCTGGGAAACGTCTTATCAACGCTGAACTATGTTGTACTGTATGCCCCCTTAGCGCACGTGCTGCTTGAAAATGTAGTCGTCAAGTTTGTCTGAGGGCCACGTGAAACGCTCAGTCACTACCAGGGGGAGCTGACGTGTTAGGAAACACCTTGGTAAACAGCAGCCCTCGAATTTTTGTTGTTGAAACGTAACATGTTTAAATGCGAGTTTCTGGTAAGCTGAGCCAAAGTACTGGAGACTCGTTTGCTATAATGTAAAATCGTCCCATCTCTGTAAAGCTATCTAGTTAAAACGTACGTCGAGTTTACGAAATGGACGTATATGTGTAAAGTTGCTTAAGAAAAGACTATAATGCGTTAGTGTTTGAAGCATTATAAGGTAAATGAATTGTTAAGTTTCTTGTCTTTTTTTATATTTCTCATAGAGTTTTAAGAAACGACTCTGTCTTCTTTGATAGATTGTTTAGGCAGATTACCCATGATGAAACTAAGTTGAATGGAAACACAAGTGTAGAGGACGAAGTTTCGAAAGTGTTCCGCCTTTGCCGTCTATTGCACTTGGACTCTGTATTCGTAACTGTTGATCTTCACCAGTTATCAATATATTTGAATTAACAGTATTTTGCACGTTTTTTCCAGTCGCAACATTTAGTTAAACGTTTATTTTAACTATATTTGGAACTTCAATTCAAAATTATAAAATTGCCGTCTGAGTTTACGTTAAGACCATTAAAATATATATTTAATGCTTTATAATAAAATAATTCGAAATCTGTCTTACTTATTGGTACTGCGAATGTAATCATTATAATAAAACACCCCAACACTCAGTATTATTTTATTTTTGGCGGGAGAAATATTCCTGGAGTTTTAAATTTTGTTCTTGTAGTGTTTGATAAGTATAACGGAATTTCCGGTTGATCGTGTGATAATTTGCTTAACGCATTTTCTGTTTGGTCAGGGTTTGAATTCCATGTGTTTATAATTTTTCAACTAATATCAGTTTATGCCTCACTCCGTTTGACCTGATTGACCACATGAAAAAAAGCTTATTCGTTGGTATTAGAATGTTTAATGTGACATCGGTTGTATCATAATTCAGTGTGTCCGAATATTACGTTAACAAAATTCTTTACTTTTTTGTAAAAGATTTCTTAACGTAATTCCCAGACATCCTTTATAAATAGATAATTTGATGAACATTTTGTGAATAGAGCTAAGTGATAATTCCTAGTCACTTTTATGCTTATCACTAGAAAATCGTGAGGTTTTTACTTGTTTCTTCTGATAGTCGGTATTTTAGTGTACGTATGCTAATAAATGATACTCTAAAACTAGTGTAAAACAGCCGGTACAACAAGTTCACTTCCACCGTTTAATGGCTAGAATGCAAAGACGAAAAAAATCGTGTTCGTGTTTTTTGTTTCTTTGGGGAGGGGGATTATTCATCAAATCGATGATTAGGTATTTTCTGAATGTAGTTACTATATCTTAATCTTTTCTACTCTCCATTCTTTTTTGAATGAGAATGAGCTTAACTTGGGTCGATCGGGTTTACCTCGGGTCTTACTGTGTATTCAAGAACCACCTTTGTGCAAGGTGAACTGGGAAATGTGTATTGGTAGTAACGAATACAGAGCCTTCCTTTACGCCATAGCTTGAGACTTGCTCTTAACGTCAACCGCTTGGCAGTTTTATTCGTATACCAAAAGCAGTCGTGTTTTCTAGCCAATTAGCCAGTTTTACTAGCTTAGGCTCATCAGCATAATTGCAATAAATCAAGTCAACACTTAACTAGTGCACATACGTAGTCGTATTTGTTTTTTTGTTGCAATTGTTTATTTGCGACGTGTGTTACAGACCAACAATAAGAAAGAAAAACCTTTAAATCTTGTAGAACAAACCTAAGGTATTATTAGAAACACCTATATTTAACATGGTTTATTGTGGAATGTTTGTTGAGAACTTCAGTCAACAAACTTTGTAAGTAAAATGTCCTAATACAGTAATAGGTAAGCATGTATTCAAAATATATGTTGAAGAACACCAGCTTGTGTGCAAGTTAAAACGGCTAAATTCGAAAAATATCGCCCCGATGTTCTAACAACTCATCATTAAAAACAAACATACATCTATCTATTAACATACATCTGAAATATCCAGTACCGACTAGACCTTTCGCCAAATACTAAGGCTCATCAGACCGGCTGAGATACGACAGACATAGTAGAGGACTAGGTGCTGTTTATCAGCTTTCGTGAACAACGACTATTAGTCATTTTTACTTTACTTCTAATGAATATTATACGCGTGCGACGAATCTTAAACGTTAGAAAGATGAGATAATGTACTCCGAAATTCTGTATTCGTTTTTCTTTATTTTCTCGAGACTTTAAAATTAAGTCTTAACTTTTTGAAAAAGTAGAAATAAATCATCTGGAACTTATTTAATAACCTCTAATCCTTTTCATTGTATAGTACGATAACCCAAGTAATTAAATATAAATAGATTGTAGTGTTGAGATGGCGAAGATATGTGTACTTAATATTAGTGTCACCTCGATCTCTTAAATATCAGCCTTGTTGCTTTCTTCACTTATTATGTATTCTAGATTCTGTGTATTCTTGTATTTCAATCGCTTGTAGACAATGCTAATTCAGTTACTCTTAACAATGGTTGAATTTAATAGTTTGACGAGTTGCTGTAATATTTTTAGTCTAAAACAGTTGGAAGTATTTCGATCTGAATGGCACCTAAATCAGCACATGCTGACCAGAGATAAGGCAACCATTCAGCAGCACCCACCGCATATATGACCACGCTTAACTGAAGGCGGAGTTTACTGTAAAAGTTATATCGCCGTCACAAGTGCAGAGCATGTTCATCGGCATATTGCTACTCGAACTTTGGACCCAGCCGGCACGGTTATTACTAGGTTACGCCCGACCCAACACTCGAAGAAATTTAATGTTAAAATATTGACTTATTTTATTTGTTCAGTGCAATATTTCAAACATTGGTCTGTTGAAGCCTCAGTGTGATTAAACATAAGTATTTCTTTATATCGTTTGAAGTTTCAACATCTTGGTTCACACGCACTGCCATCTGTGTGCGAAGTGTTAATTAACTAGACAGTGTTGTTTATTATGTAGTTTCTCGAACACCTATCCTAATTTAAAATGGTTGCTTTTTATTAAAAAAAGAAGCTTATAACCTAAAAAATAATTCTGAATTTGAGAGTGTCTTTTGTCGTAAAAATGCTGATTAGTTTTCGTCAAGTGCTGATAGGAGATCACTGAACCGTGACATTTATGATTAAGATTGATTGAGATATAAGAAGTTCGACATTTATCTTTTTGTTTTTTATATGGTTCATGTTTTATATATATATCCAATCAAGAGGTGTATTTTATTAAACTGTTTTCTCTTCTTTGCAGTCGATAACGGTAGTTTGCTGATTGATGACGTACTGCTCTGAATCAAGAACTGTGGTGTGACAACGAGTATTACTGGATTTTTGAAAAGCCGTTAAAGACTACCAAACTGTGTACAAGTGCTATGCTCATGTCTCGTAGAAGGTGACAAACACTGTTCCTTTGTTACAATAGGTTTAGCCGTGTTTTTATGTCAGTGCAATATGAGCCGACGCTATACACTATCTCTGTGTTCTCCGAACAAGGATTTGAAGTGGATTATAGCTGTTCTGTTAGTCTGTCAATTACTTGTTTTAGCGGACTTGAGGCACACGACCCATGTTCGGGATTTCCGCCTGATACGATATGAAGGTAATTAGTTGTGTTTTTTTTTGTGTGTTTTTTTTTAAGATACGCACCACAAAGAATGAGTATTTTGCTTGGTTAATCAATTGCGTACTGTTGTAATAGGATTTGTTTATTATTTATTCTCATACGGCTATACTGGCAGTACATTAGTGATCTGCACTGAATGGCTCGAGTATTGTTTATTTTAGTGCAAAGCTTTACAATGGATTATCTGTGCTCTGTCCACTGCGACGGGTTGAAAACCGTATTTTAGCATTACAAGTCCGGAAATTTACCGCTGACCCACTTTGGAATTGAATATAAAAGCAGTTTATTAACTTTAAATTCTCGATTTAACCAGGCCCTGGTTACTGATAAGTCTGGGATATGTAAAATCTGAAAAAATTTTGGAATATGTATTAAACATATATTAAAATAATTGTCGTGGATTAGGAAAAAACTGGAAGTTATTAATCAGTCTTTACCCTTTGTTTGACCAAAGTTTTCCATTTTCTGGCCAAAAATTAATGTAGAACACTGTTGAAATATCAGAAGATGACTTTATCCCTTCTCTCTTTTTGCAGCCATAAAGTGTTTCAATTTTAATAAATGTAGACCATACGAATATGAACACTATGGAATATCAACTGTAAAGATGGGAACTTTTTTTGTGCTGCTTCTTTGAAAGCAAAAGTTGCTGTTGTCTTGGTTGTTGAAGATGGCTATTCAGATGCTAATGAAGCTCATTCATTGTTCCCTTTACTAAAACATTTTGTAAAGGTCATCTTGTATATTTTATCTGTGCCTGCTCTTTTTGAAATGCTTCGGTTATTGTATGTACTGAAATATTTTGGCCAAACTGACACCGAAAATAGATCAACCTTGACAAACCAGTTTGGAAGTTGTACCAAAATCAGTTTCAGTTTTTTATGCTGGTGTTGGACTCTAGATCTAAATATGATCATTTTGAAACCGGATCTAATTATGTGAAAGTTTGATCACCATCTTTCAGGGATTTTGACCTAGTTATATTTATAAATGGCAGGTTGGTTGTTCAGATCATTAGCTTGTAATCGTCTTGGATGTATTATATCAACTTTTTTTCTCATTTAATTTTGATCATTATTTATCTGATAAAGAAAATACCCAAGTTGGGCCATATGGGTGAAAAATCTCGGTAAACATTAAAATATAGACTTCACTGTTTGTAGCGTTCATGATCATTACTAATTTGGAACGTTAAAATTTCTCCTTATCATAAAAAAAAAAAAATGTTTGCAGTAAAGCACAAAGCTGCACAATGAGCTGTTTATGCTGTGCCTACCATGGGTATCGAAACCCTGTTTCTTGAGTTATAAGTCCACAGTCATACAGCTGTGCCACTGGGAGGCCTTTAAAGAATAATCGAAATTATAAAATTTCAGATTAAATTGAATCAAGGTGAGGCTATGATTTTTAGAGTTGGTAAACCTAGATAATGACACTTAATGAAGTAGATGACAAATAGCTTTTGGTCAAACGAAACGCGAAATGAGAATCTTGAATTTTTCTGTTTTGAAGAACTCCATTATCTCACTTATTCGATGCCACGCCACCTTCATAAATAAGTTGAGATAATCTGGGTACTTGAATATAAATTTATTATTTATTCTCTCTGATGTGGTGTGAAATCAGTATTTGCTACAATCAAACTATTTCAGAATCAAATTACATTTTATTGTCTCAATAAATAAGATAAAAGTACAAAATTATTAATATTTAAAGGATACGAGTTTTGTACTATTGTGGATTTAAATTTTGACCCAGTGTTTCATTGAGATTAGGTATTTACATTATTATTATATTGTTGTAATCTATATCTTTAATATTGTAATTTGTTTGTTAGCCAGAGGGAGCTATGTTAAGTTCAAAAGGTTTAATAATATAGGCTTAGAATGTTCTATAGATTTGATGTCGTTTTCTAGTAAATCAGAGGATACATTACAAATACAAGATACTGAATCGGTAAAGAAAGGCTAGAAAATAGATACTTCTAGCTGGTATAGTGAACAAATCAATGTGTTCTTGTTTTTAGTGAAGTATTTGGGCCTGTGTTAGCTGTCTTGCATAATGAATTACTTTGTAGAAGTAAGTTTATTTTTACGTTAGTATTGTGCAGTTAGCGCCATTTGTATACGTGGCTTAAAGATTACCGTGCTAAAGAAGAAATAAACTAACTTATTATAGTTGGCGTGGACTGAACCATGAATTATTTTTACCACATAATGTACAAGAACTCGCCTACGAGAGAACAACGTTACAATAATGTCGTAACTGCGTGTATAGATAAATATACAAATATGCGGATCGTCAAATCCTGATCACACACAAGTCAGTTCGAATACTTGCGCATAAGCGGAAATACAATATATTTTACCTGTAAGAATCTTTATTTGTGGTAATTGTTTTTGCTGTAAGGGGATAGTATAAGTTTGTGTTTTTGTAGGATATAATTGGCTTGCTTTAACACACTAAAAACGTTTTCAGTTTACTATAAATTAAATATTGAACAGTCTCACTAAATAAGAAAGCTGTTGTTGTATGTAGTTAAGCACAAAGCTACACAATGGGCTATGTGTGCTCTGCCCACCACGGATATCATCGAAACCCGGTTTCTAACGTTGTAAGTCCGTAGACATGCCTCTGTGCCACTGTGGGGGAGGGGCAAATAAGAAAGCTACTCAGCATTATTGTATATTACGTGAAGTGCTGGTGTAGGCTGTTTTCAATCCAAACGTTTGTATTGTTGTTTCGTCAAAACCTTTTGAAAGATTATGAAACTATTAGAGCAATAAAAGACGCGATTTAGGCTAGCGCCTTACGTTTTGTGGAGTGAGAAGATTAGCAAGTAAGTGAAATTGTTGCATTAGCGTCTACTGTGAACTTAGGCTTACCAGTACTAAATATTAGTAAAGCTAAGTGTAGGACTATTAAGTTCGTGAAATAAAATACTTTCGTTATCATTCGTCTGCTGGACTGTGCATTCTTCACTTTAACACTAATCAAAAACAATCCGCCCAACAGAAGAAATCTTTACAACAGTAAAATTATACTCAGCATGAGTAGCAAAAAGTAAACTTACTTGAGACTGAAGTATTTCTGTTGGTTTTTGTTTTTCCAATTAACACCAAAATGATTTTACTTCAGAAAGAAACATGAGGACCAATCTATTCATGGGCTCATCACTTGTCATAATTAACCCTCGATAAGTGCGAATTGAAGAGCAAGGCCAGACCTCTATGATATGTATTTCATGTGTGGTGTTTGAGACGTCCTTTACTCACTACAAATAACCTATATTTATATCGGTGTTGAAAGAATATATAACATTAATCATACTACTCTATTACGCTTACTTTTTCAGCGTTTAACATTATTTTAATAAATTTTTATTTGCTCCGTTTTCGTCAAATATGTTAATTAATTTATATTGTATTTTACAGATAAAACATGTAAAGTATTTTAAGCTTGCTTGTTTTAACGCAAAACTACACTGGGCTATCTGCCGTGTCCACCGCGGAGGAATCGAACCTCAGATTTTAGCCTTGTATAGTCTATAAATCTATCCGCTGACCCACCTTGCGACTAGTCACTAGGACTCGTGAAAATGTATTTTTTCTTTCATTCTCGTTACAAAATATTTCCTAGTTTTTGAATGGTTCGTAGATGTATAAGCTACTTAAAAATATTCGTCATGCAAAGTCAATTTGATTTATTTTTTTTCTATTATTGACGTGGGTTTCAGAACATTAATGGATCTTATAACTGCTGCTGGCAGTTATATAGTTTTAGCTTCTTTTTTTTGTGCACTTCTCAAACGAGTTTTGTTACGTTTTCCAAAGCCTGTACCAACTCTGTTAAAAAAAATGTTGCTCTTCAATATATATTTTAATTGTGGAACTCTCTAATCTCTGTCATAGCAGCTTTATCAGTTATGTTAAATTGTTGTAGAATGTCTCGCACGCCCCGTGTTGCTGGAGGCGACCTTACACTTCATTCTACCCATAAGCGGTCAGTGACATGTAGTATAAGGTGGAGTTTTTTGTGTATTTTTTGTTAAGTCGTAGGTTACTTTTGTGAAACTCGTAGGTTCAGATGAGTTATTTTTTCGAAACGATGAATCAAATACGGAAAAGGTCGGACAAACAGCCAAGTTTGATGTCGTCTGGTGCATGTAATCTCGATTCCATTTTGAATACTAGCTACTACCACTTTCAACCTGTACGTGTGTATCGTACTCACGTTGGTAGTGCTTGTGAAAACTTTTTTCCTGCTTCTTTGTCTGGTTTCCTGATGACGTTTCGTTCTTAATGTATTTTTTTCTTCCTTTTTACATACTGTATAATAGCGATATATGAGGAACCTCTGACAGTGTGGATTAGTCCTACTTCACTAAGCTTCTCACGAGGATGACGAGTATTCTGCTAAGCATTGGTCTCTGAAAAGAACTATTTGGGCCTCTGAAATATCAGCTTAACGATATCTGGACGTAGAGAGGCAATTCTTTTTACAGAATGCTAATTACAAAGTAAAAAAAACAACCAGTTCATACTTTTTTCCTTCCACATAAATATATGTAAGGGGGGCATAAGATGAATGGAAATATTTTTATTACGAGGTTGTTTCGGTTTTCAATTTTACATAAGTTATGATTCTTAGTCCATCTCGTCCCCCTAGGATAAGTAGTTCTTAATATATAATCATTTTAAATGTTTATATATCAGTAACTAATGTTTTAGGATTTTTCTCTTCATATTTTCAAACTTTCGTGTGTTTTTTTTGCAATTCGACAAATGGAAGATACCGTAATAGTTTTTCATTTTGCCTTTCCGTGTATATTTGCACAATTGCCGTCTGTATTCCAACTTGCAGAGAAAATAAAACTAAATACATTTGTGATTTTATCAGTTTCCCTGCAAATGGGTCCGATTTCGTTTTTTATAATCTACCTGACTGTGGCTATATTCCAGTTTCAGTAACCACTT